TGAAATGATAAATCTCGAGTCGAGTGTATAGTGACATTTTTTTTTTAACCCAGGAAAAGCGAGCAGAGATCAAATATCTCGCTAGATGGTGTATTTGATTGTCTTTTTCTTATGTTTTACGCTCCTTTTATATGGACTATATACTTGATGAAAGATTGACAGCCCAGAAACAGAGCTGGTGAGAGTTGATGTCTGGTGTCCTAACTATCCTTGAATGAGCTGAAATCCAAAGGCTCAGAATAAAAAAGAATAAAAATTATCTCTCTCTCTCTCTCTCTCTCTCTCTCTATATATATATATATATATATATATATACGGTATATATATACAGTATATATATACAGTATATCATACTGAGTGTTAGTGAACATTTTTTTGTGGTGATTTTGTGCCTCTTTGGGATGGCACCACAAGGTGTTGTTCACTTGCCGAATGCAAGCTTCTGGGGGGCACATAGGTCTGAAGTGTTGAGTTTTACAGTAGGTATAGGGGTGCAGAGCCAGCGGTTGTTCTGTAGGCAAACATCAGTGCCTTGAATTTGATGCGAAGGGCAATTGGCAACCAGTGCAAGTTTATGAGGAGATGTGACGTGCGCTCTCTAGTATTTCATAATGTCAAGAGATTTATTTGGAGCGCAACTAATATTGCTAAATCTACTGATCTGAAGTCACATTAATAATTCTTGACAAGAAAAAGAATCGTTTAAATATTAACATTACATCCAATGTGGTATTTCAGACCACCACTTAAAGCCTTGAAGTTGTTGATATGTTTGGGAAGACTAAAATTTGGGCCTTCACATCGTTAATGTTAATTTCTTGCAAGAAAGAGCACAATTGAGCGGACACAACTTTTTCTATTATTTTGGACATGAATGGAAGATTTGAAATGGGTCTGTAATTTGTTAGGTTATTTGGATCTAATTGTGGTTTCTTAATAAGAGGTTTTATTACCGCCAGCATATTCTTGGAACATGACCTGAAAATAAAGACAAGTTAATAATATTGAGAAGAGGCTCTTCCACTACAGGTAACACTTCTTTCAGTTGTTTAGTGGGTATTGGATCTAATAAACATGTTGTTGGTTTAGATGCAATGATACGTTTATTTAGCTCTTCCTGTCCTATAGTTGTAAAGCAGTGTAGTTGTTCTTGAGGGGTGATAATTGAGGCCGAAATCATAAGATACCATAAAAGATTGTACATTTACAATTGTGTTTTTGATGCTTTCTATTTTCTCAGTGAAGAAATTCATAAAATCATTACTACTATACTGTAATGGAATATTTTGCTCTGGTGATAACTGTGTTTATTTTTTAGTCTAGCCACTGTGTTAAATAAAAACCTTGGATTATTTTGGTTATTTTTTTATTAGTTTGCGGAGATGCTCAGCCCTGGCTGCTTTTAGAGCCTTTTTATAAAGTTATATACTGTACTGTCTTTCCACGCGATTCTAAAGACCTTTAAATTAGTTCATTTTCATTTACGCTCCAAGTTACGAGTTTCTCTCTTAATAGCATGCGTAGCACTGTTGTACCATGGTGCTGTAGTTTTCTCTCTGTCCTTTTTTAATCTAATTGGTGCAACAATTTCTAATGTACTAGAGAAAATGGTGCTCAAACTGCTAGTCATTTCCTCTAGGTCATGTCTGTTTGTTTGGGTTCACTGAGCAGCTGAGATAGATCAGGTAAGCTATTTGAGAATCTATCTATAGTGTTTGGAAGGATTGTTCTGCCTGGTTGATAACGTGACGCAACAGGACAAATTTCAGCAGTATGTAGTATTTATTTATTTATTTATTTTATTCAGTAATTGTTTTACAATTGTGCAAACAGGCACCTCTTAAACATCTGGATCATTTCCAACAATGTATATTTTGAACAAGTAGATTCATTCTTGCATTAAACAGAATAAAGAGGGAAAGAAGAGAGAGAGAAAGGAAAAAATAAAAAATAAACGGCAAACAGATACTAATCATCATGGTACATTAAAGATCTCATCATATTTCTTCAGAAAAGAAAAACATGTTTTATTATCGATTTCCATAAGAGATTTGATTATTTACTTCACATAAAAACACAAAAAAATAGGAATTTTCATAAGAAATCTTTGCTTGTGAAAGTAAGATTTTGCCACAATTATCAAGAAGTTAACAGTAGATTAGCAGTATGTAGTATGCAAGTTACCATATAATGATCAGTGACGTCATCTCTTTGCGGTATAATATCTATATCGGTTTAATTGGTTCCATATGATATAATTAAATCTAGTGTATGATTTAGACGATGAGTGGGACCACTGACGTTTTGCTTGACCCCAAAGGAGTTCAATAAATCTGTAAACGCAGCCGCTAACACATCTTTTGTGTTATCTACGTGTATATTCAAATCTCCAACAATTATTGCTTTATCATTATTGACCAATGGATCTGAGAGATAGTCTGCAAACTCTTTTAGATTTAGTACAAGTACTTCTCTTAATTTGGACTTTTCTGTGCATGCTATTTGAGGTGGGCTCCATAGACCTCCATTATATGACTGATAGACAACAACGGTTTGACCGAAAAATATCAAAATTGAAAATACTCTGGAAACAAAGACACCTACATCTTGGATGCCCTTGAGGTAAGCTAAAACATATCAAAAATGTATTTCAAAGTGAACTATCCCTTTAAACTGAGTAAAGGTGAATACATCTTTCTCTGATAACAGCTGGCAAGCTCACAGTGTGCACAGAGACAGATGTGAACTAATGAAACCATGTTGAACGCTTCTCTTCTCAAAAAGCCCAGAGGGTTATCTTAATGTCCCCTGCAGACTTGTTATCAGTTAGAAGTGATGTGGTGCTTGTTTTTTTTAAACCAATGACAGTCTGTTGCACTCGGCAGGGGGTGATGTCCTGAAGTGATTAAAGATCTATAGGCTGCAAACTGAAAGCCTTTGAATCACCCATTGAATTACCATTGTGCCCTTAAGCAAAACACTTACTGTAACCTGATGCTTCTACAGTGAGGATTCTCCCCATTAGAAGTGCTTTAGGAAACAGCATCTGGTAAATGACTAGAACTAAATGGGTTAACGATGGTATCACCAGTTCAGGTGAGTTAAATGGACAGGCAGAGAAGTGCTGTTGACCTCATTGTCACAAACAGTGTTGCATTTGATGTCTATTTATTATGACAATGATTATGTTTTGGGATTATTGAGAATAAGTTTCTGTGTTTGGGGAAAATGCAAGTAGGTATACAAAAAGAAGATTTGTATATAATTGTCATTTTTGGATATTACTAGCATTTGCACACTAACACAAAGCAACGGACGGTAAGAGATCTTATAGAGATGCTAATACTTGCTATATTCTCGCTCAGGAGACATGGAGATCCTAGATTGAATATGAATTTTGTCGCAGATGTTGGGATCTCTCCTAGGGAGAGATTTTCATTTCATTTATGCATTTTGCAGACACTTTTTAAATTTTTTTTTATTTAATTTTTTTTTTAGCAGACACTTTAATTTGTATTGGAAGTTACAATATGTTTGTGACAGTTCATTCATTGAACCAACATATTCTCACTCCCAACTAGGGGTGTCACGATTCTCTAAATCCTCGATTCGATTCTCGATTTTTATCAATAGGCCAATCAGGATGGCGTTTATACTTGATGCGCTCGCCGTTGTACTATTCTTTGAAATGACAGGCGACGACTCAAGTAACTGTCCTCTAATCATCAGGAATCAGCGAGAAGAAAGATAAACATGTGACAATGTTTATTTTTTAGAATACCACCACCAATACAAAAATAGTCAAGTAAAACCCAGTAAACTCTGAGATTATTACAAAACATTACATTACAAAAACAATTATATGGAAACGTGTGTGTATACAACTAAATGAATGCCCTTCTTAAATATTTTCTATTTTTACCAAACATATTTCATTAAGTTTTGTGTACATTTGTGGACCTTTGTTCATTAAAAAGCCTTTTGCTATTGTATGCTTAGCATGTATTCTTTCATTAAACCTCTTTCATTCAGCCAAACCTGCATGACTCCTGCAGAAAACAAAATCATATTTTAAAAAATGTTGGGAAACAATAAACATTGGAGTCCTTTGACTTCTGTTTGAAACATTGCCCAGAATATCTTCTTTTATGTTTCAGCAGAAGTAAAAGTAATACAGTTTTGGAACAAAGTAAAGACTGATTTAAAAAAGAAAACAAATTTGGGTGGGTTAACTGTCACTTTCAGCAAGTCTCAGTTCCATTTCATTGTTTTCTAGGAGAAATGATTGAAAGATTAAAGAGATTTTTTTCTTCCCTACAGCTAAGTGTTATTAAAATAATCATGCTGTGATGATCATAAGCAATATTTATAGCCGGCTCCTGTCAGGATTCATTAATCTTTGTCTATCCTTACCTCATGAGGCTTTTCTTCTTGTGAAATGTTTGGCAGCACGAAGTCTACATAATAAAATCATATTTAGAACAGCTGCTCAGTGATCAAAGGATGAGCAAAACACACACACACACACACACACTATTTCCACTCACACGCATTAATGCACACATCCTTGTCATAAATTTGTGGGAATTACACCGACAAATAGGGAGAGAGGAAAAAAAGAGAAAAGTTGCTTCTTGGCAGCAGTGGCCACTTGCTCCATGCCCCCCCACACACACACACACACACACACGCACATAATTTGAATGGCTCTTTAGCGAAGTGGTGGCTTGCAGTCAGCAGTTAGTGAAGCGCTGCAGATCGACAGCTCGCTCCGTCTCTCCTCCCTCCCTCCCATCCCCTCTCTCTCTCTCCCTCTCTCTCTCGTTCCTCTTCTCTCTCACAAGCACACCATCACAGCTCGGCAGTTGTCCTGACAGGAGCACGCAATCTTCCGCTCTCCCGCTTTTTCGCAGATTCATTCCAGTCACTCGTTTGTACGGCAAGCAGCCCGTGCGGGGTCCGCAGAGACGCCCAGAGTTCGTTCGCTCACCCTTGCTCTCCCCTGCCCTGGGGAGTTTTCCGCCGGATTAGTGGACATTTTTTTGTTTTTGCCCCCAGCAGCGGGAGAAGGAAGGGCGAAGCGTGAGGATGGCCCAGCAAGCGGCCGTGGGCCACCAGGACACGCTGGCAGTGCCGCCCATGCCCAAGCACGTCGGGCTGAACGAGGACCTGGTGAAGATCCTGAGGGAGAACCTCCTGCAGCAGGAGCGACCCCGGGGGCACCGCCGCCCACCCTCCTCTATTTCCCCCGGCTGTCGCCACGGAACTCCCCGCGCCTCCTCCGACGGATGCTTATCAACAACAACAGCCACAAACAGAGGCGGTTCACCGTGGCACACACTTGGTAGGACCTTGCCTGCTGTCAGTGTGGATTTTTTTTTTTTTTTTTTTGGGTGTCCTTGTATTTTTATTTGTGGCTTGGCTTTATTATAGGATGCTGTCAGCCGTTAGAGCTGCAAAAGGTGTGCTTGTACGTATGTTGTAGTCTCTTGTCAAACAGTTAACATGCGTGAGAAGTTTTGCTCTGTTTGTTGTGTCTTTCGGAATCATTTCCATATGCTTCGTACTTGTCACCTGCTGGTTTCTGCGTCACTTTGATTGTTGACTGGCGTTTTCAGCCCGCCGGCATGCTTTTTGGTGCGCAAACAAACAAATATGAATGTGCATGTTCTCTTTTGATATATCTGGTCTTTCCATAACACCTGGCAGATGCTCTCGGCCACTATTGAATAAATCATAACTGCATAAACGCGCTTTCAAGCTTTCCCCCTTAAAGCGAACACTGAGGGAAAAAGAATTACATATTGCAATTCATCCTCCAATATCTTCCAATTTCTTGCCAGTGGAAATGATGGAAATAATTGTTTTTTTGTTGTTATTGTTGTTGAATATGTCAGATTATGTCAGGCTCCAGGATGGATTTTTGCATTGCTTTCTTCAATCTTAATTTCACACTTCCTTTCCTGCTGCCCCCTCGCTTTCCGGATTACTGTCACAAGCCACTTTTAAAATACATTTATCAGTTTCAGTAGCTGTCTTTAGCCTTTTACCCATTTCGGATCCAACACCAGAGAGATGTGCCAAGCGGAAACAGTTATCAGTGCAATTTTCATATATAAAGAATGCCATCAATGGCCTTGTCTCAAGTTGCAATGAAACCGAAGTAGTGACAGATATTTTCTTCCCCGTTGTGTAACGGATTATCGGAAAAGAAATCCGTTTTATCTTTTTTTTTTTCTTCAATGTGGCCATTGCACTCAAAAATGGAGACAGATGAACGTTAGATTGCAGAAACGGAGTTTAAGCCGACTTTGTCGTTTACACCGGAAGATCCAGTTATCACATTTTGATTAAACATTCAAGTGCAAAGGTTTGTAAAGATGAATTGTTCACTTTTAAGATCTATAACATGCATTTATTTCATGCTGACTTTAAAGTCGGCATGAAACGGAAGTAGCGATCAACATTTCATACCTATTGTGACTGAGTCAATCTGAGTGAAATGGCTTCTTATATAAAGAAAAATATAAGCCGGGACTTGATTTTGTCCAGTGGGAATTGATTGGATGGTTGTGGTTTGCTATTGCTGTGATATCATGTTGAGTGACAGGTTGTCCCGCCATTGCGCCAGTAAATCATCAGAGAAGAGTTTTTTTTTTTTGCAAGGAGATTTTGATTAAAGGGATACTCCACTGTTTTCATATTAAACTATGTTATTCCCTTAACTAAGACGAGTTGATGCATACCTCTCTCGTCTCAGTGTGTGCACTCAATCGCTCTGGCGCGTGAGACACTTTGATAGCACTTAACTAGCCCAGTTCATTCATTAGGATCCAAGCAGAATAAAACGTTGCACTTTTCTAAGCATGTAAAGTGGATAACTATAATGTATTGGGGAATATCACAGCAAGTGCTTGTGAAAAATCCTCTCCCTCCCCGGAGTGATGATATTACTGCGCCGACTCCATAGATATATATGGACCGAGTCGAAGTACTCCCAATCACTTGCTGTGGTATTCCACCATACATTATATAGTTATCCACTTTACATGCTTAGAAAAGTGCAACGTTTTATTTTGTGTCACCATTCTTGGTCGAGTTACACTACTCGAGTAACTGTATTTAAATAGGGAAAAAGTGGAGGTGTTTGGTCGCTTCTCTGCTTGGATCCTAATGAATGAACTGGGCTAGTTAAGTGCTATTAAAGTGTCTTGCGCACCAGAGCAATTGAGTGCACGCACTGAGACGAGAGAGTGATGTATCAACTCGTCTTAGTTAAGGGAATAACATAGTTTAATATGAAAAAATGGTGGAGTATCCCTTTAAAGATTACAAGGGCACAAAAAATATTGTGTGCTCAGATAAATCATTAATAATAACACTATAGTATTCAAAAAAGATTTGTTTATTTTGAGGTCAAGGTGACTTTAATTGAAAAGAAATCACACATAGCATACATTCTCATTTGTATTGATTCCTAACCTCGAGAATTTCTTTTCAGAGAAACGGTCTGGCCGTTCTAGAAAGCCTCTGAATCGGTGCACTCATCCAAAGTCTATCAGCTTGTTTGATTAGAGATGGCTTTCCAGAGAATATCATCATTCAGAACCGCAGGGGTGTAATCAGGGTGTCAGCGTCTATGCTCATTAAAGCTGTTTTAATGTAGATGGCCCTGTGCGTTTGCCATTATAATTCAAGCATATGTTATTTTTCTGCAGACATAGTTTGTAGTGATAACATGCATGCATACAAGAATCCAAAGTCAAAGGTGTTCAATAATGAGAAATATGCCCTTGTCACGTGCTATTAGGTTTTGCTTGTTGTGCAGACAGTGCTTCTCATTTGTCAATTGACTAAGACAGCTAGACATTATTGATGTATCTGTGTTTTTGCTCTCAAGAGATCCCTTTGTAAATGTTACCCATCTACATGAGGAAAAATCCCTGCTGTGTTTTAGATGCGATTAATTGGCCCACATTTGAGTGGTGGGAGAGCTGTTTTGTGTAAACGGTAGAATACGAGATCACTTTGGCTCAACAGCTGTTGGATTCAGATGCCTTTTTTAACACCATTATTTCGCCCCTGCACTGGAAGATGGTTCCATCAATCAAGTGAAATGGAGCCCGAGGCTTCGCCATTTGATAGGTGATCTCTTAGATGGCCTCAGATAGAAATCTCTCTTACTTGGGTCATTTCTTTTTTCAAGTACAAGTCAAGTAAATATGGTTGGGCATCTACTTGCATGTATTCAAATTCCATTTGAAATTTTGTTTTCTGTTTGCTACCTCATTTGGCACACAAATTTGCTTTCCAGCAAAACGTTGACACCATGTAAGCTAACACTCAATCCTTCAATAAGCAATTGCAAAGCTTTTTATTTTCGTTCTGTGTCTTTTTTTTTGCTATGTTGTAAACGTGTTTCCGGTATTTAACACCTTGAGTCTATTTTGTAGTATGTTTTGAATGAAATAGAGTGGTGGACTTAGAAATTTTGATATTGGGTCCTGTCTCGACTTTTTGACTTTTTTAGAATCGCCTGTGACAGTGTTAGACTGGCTGTCTATGGGCATGCACAAACATGTCCTTAAAACAACCCTTAACGTTCATTTTCAAAACTGTGCAACTCACCGAGTGGTTGGTGGTGTTCGTTGATGATTTAAAAACAAATATATCGGCGCTATATATGCTTTCAATCCGTGTTGTTTGCTATTGTGGAACTATTTATTCAGATACCTCACAACCGCATATAAACTTCCGCTCGATATTTGAGTCTGAAGCGTTAGCACACTCCCGAACACTTGATGGCGACAACCAGGACGCTGTATGGAACACGGTGTCTAGCGCACTGTAAAAAAAATCTGGGAGCACAGTTGCTCTGCTCACGCTAGCCTTCTGAAAGACGGAGAACCGAGCGAAAAGACTACAACCAAATGTAAACAGACCCCTTTCCTTTTCCGGTAGCTAGCGCAGTAATATCAACGAGCACTGAGTCCTCCAGCAGACATTAATGCGATTTTAAAAAATGACAAATAAAACACGACAGAAACGGTATTTCGCTTGGCTACTTGTATCAGAACATCAACGAACACCACCAACCACTCGGTGAGTTGCACAGTTTTGAAAATGAACGTTAAGGGTTGTTTTATGGACATGTTTGTGCATGCCCATAGGCACCCAGTCTAACGCTGTCACAGGCGATTCTAAAAAAGTCAAGTCAGGACCCAATATCAAAATTTCTAAGTCCACCTCTCTATTTCATTCAAAACAAACTACAAAATAGACTCAAGGTGTTAAATACCGGAATTATCCTTTAAGTCTGATATACCCACATGTGTCTTGTTTGCAATGTGTTTGCAGTGCAGTAGAATGAAATAATAATTTACTGCTTATTTGGAAATGCTGGTAATCCTTATAGGCTCAGTTCGCCATTAATTTTTCTTATGAATCATGGCGGAGAAGGTTGTGAGCCTCGAATGTTGTTCTTTTTCTACATTTGGTTAGGGCAGATATGGTCAGAGCTAATATACTCGCAGTGGGCTTTTGAATCTTTCATTGGAAGTAATTTAGACTGGAGATGGTTTACATTGCATATGCCTGGATGCCCACTGTGATAAAAAGAAGCACTTCGCACAGCATGGTACGTGTTTGAAAAGATGAGCGATCATGAAGCGTTTACAACAGTCCTCAAATCAAATTTTCTTGTTATATTTCCTCTCACTGACACTGAAACAAACTAGAGATACTGTATATTTTTTTACAAATGTACGATACAGATCATCAGCACCACTGCATGCACGCTGTGCACTCGTTTTCTCGCTCCCTCTCCCCCTCACACTCCGGCATAGTCATGCTCTCGCTCACACAGAAACACACACAAAAAAAAAAAAAACACACAGAAGTACACACAGTCACGATTCCATCACCTCCCTTTCATTCCTGCTCTCCAGCACTGTGAGTTACCTTAGTAATAAGTTATAAAAAAGAGGTTTGAGAGAATTCCAGTGGCCTTGAACTGAAGAATGCGAGGAGGGATGTAAGCAAGTTGAGCGGATAAGATAGAAAGAGTGCGTGCAGAACAGATAGAACCGGAAACAAGGACCACTATAGAGAAAATACTGAGAGAAATTGTCATTGTCAAGATGACTGAGTGAACTGTCTTGCTTTTAATGGACTTTGAAAGAACCCAAATCAGACTCTATGCTGTCTTTCCTCCACTCCCAGCATGGTTGAGAGGGGGAGGTGACCTTCTCCCAGTCCTATAACTTCTACTTTTCCCATAACAGATCCACAATCAACCCATAATACCCTCCCAAAGCTTCAGACCACTGCAGTGCCTCGCACGCA